CGCAGAGTCGCTGGGGCGCAGAGTCGCTGGGGCGCAGAGTCGCTGGGGCGCAGAGTCGCTGGGGCGCAGAGTCGCTGGGGCGCAGAGTCGCTGGGGCGCAGAGTCGCTGGGGCGCAGAGTCGCTGGGGCGCAGAGTCGCTGGGGCGCAGAGTCGCTGGGGCGCAGAGTCGCTGGGGCGCAGAGTCGCTGGGGCGCAGAGTCGCTGGGGCGCAGAGTCGCTGGGGCGCAGAGTCGCTGGGGCGCAGAGTCGCTGGGGCGCAGAGTCGCTGGGGCGCAGAGTCGCTGGGGCGCAGAGTCGCTGGGGCGCAGAGTCGCTGGGGCGCAGAGTCGCTGGGGCGCAGAGTCGCTGGGGCGCAGAGTCGCTGGGCGCAGAGTCGCTGGGGCGCAGAGTCGCTGGGCGCAGAGTCGCTGGGGCGCAGAGTCGCTGGGGCGCAGAGTCGCTGGGGCGCAGAGTCGCTGGGGCGCAGAGTCGCTGGGCGCAGAGTCGCTGGGGCGCAGAGTCGCTGGGGCGCAGAGTCGCTGGGGCGCAGAGTCGCTGGGGCGCAGAGTCGCTGGGGCGCAGAGTCGCTGGGGCGCAGAGTCGCTGGGGCGCAGAGTCGCTGGGGCGCAGAGTCGCTGGGGCGCAGAGTCGCTGGGGCGCAGAGTCGCTGGGGCGCAGAGTCGCTGGGGCGCAGAGTCGCTGGGGCGCAGAGTCGCTGGGGCGCAGAGTCGCTGGGGCGCAGAGTCGCTGGGCGCAGAGTCGCTGGGGCGCAGAGTCGCTGGGGCGCAGAGTCGCTGGGGCGCAGAGTCGCTGGGGCGCAGAGTCGCTGGGGGCGCAGAGTCGCTGGGGCGCAGAGTCGCTGGGGCGCAGAGTCGCTGGGGCGCAGAGTCGCTGGGGCGCAGAGTCGCTGGGGCGCAGAGTCGCTGGGGCGCAGAGTCGCTGGGGCGCAGAGTCGCTGGGCGCAGAGTCGCTGGGGCGCAGAGTCGCTGGGGCGCAGAGTCGCTGGGGCGCAGAGTCGCTGGGGCGCAGAGTCGCTGGGGCGCAGAGTCGCTGGGGCGCAGAGTCGCTGGGGCGCAGAGTCGCTGGGGCGCAGAGTCGCTGGGGCGCAGAGTCGCTGGGGCGCAGAGTCGCTGGGGCGCAGAGTCGCTGGGGCGCAGAGTCGCTGGGGCGCAGAGTCGCGGGGCGCAGAGTCGGCTGGGTCGCAGAGTCGCTGGGGCGCAGAGTCGCTGGGCGCAGAGTCGCTGGGGCGCAGAGTCGCTGGGGCGCAGAGTCGCTGGGGCGCAGAGTCGCTGGGGCGCAGAGTCGCTGGGGCGCAGAGTCGCTGGGGCGCAGAGTCGCTGGGGCGCAGAGTCGCTGGGGCGCAGAGTCGCTGGGGCGCAGAGTCGCTGGGGCGCAGAGTCGCTGGGGCGCAGAGTCGCTGGGGCGCAGAGTCGCTGGGGCGCAGAGTCGCTGGGGCGCAGAGTCGCTGGGGCGCAGAGTCGCTGGGGCGCAGAGTCGCTGGGGCGCAGAGTCGCTGGGCGCAGAGTCGCTGGGGCGCAGAGTCGCTGGGGCGCAGAGTCGCTGGGGCGCAGAGTCGCTGGGGCGCAGAGTCGCTGGGGCGGGCGCAGAGTCGCTGGGGCGCAGAGTCGCTGGGGCGCAGAGTCGCTGGGGCGCAGAGTCGCTGGGCGCAGAGTCGCTGGGGCGCAGCAGAGTCGCTGGGGCGCAGAGTCGCTGGGCGCAGAGCGCTGGGGCGCAGAGTCGCTGGGGCGCAGAGTCGCTGGGCGCAGAGTCGCTGGGGCGCAGAGTCGCTGGGGCGCAGAGTCGCTGGGGCGCAGAGTCGCTGGGGCGCAGAGTCGCTGGGGCGCAGAGTCGATGGGGCGCAGAGTCGCTGGGGCGCAGAGTCGCTGGGGCGCAGAGTCGCTGGGGCGCAGAGTCGCTGGGGCGCAGAGTCGCTGGGGCGCAGAGTCGCTGGGGCGCAGAGTCGCTGGGGCGCAGAGTCGCTGGGGCGCAGAGTCGCTGGGGCGCAGAGTCGCTGGGGCGCAGAGTCGCTGGGGCGCAGAGTCGCTGGGGCGCAGAGTCGCTGGGGCGCAGAGTCGCTGGGGCGCAGAGTCGCTGGGGCGCAGAGTCGCTGGGGCGCAGAGTCGCTGGGGCGCAGAGTCGCTGGGGCGCAGAGTCGCTGGGGCGCAGAGTCGCTGGGGCGCAGAGTCGCTGGGGCGCAGAGTCGCTGGGGCGCAGAGTCGCTGGGGCGCAGAGTCGCTGGGGCGCAGAGTCGCTGGGGCGCAGAGTCGCTGGGGCGCAGAGTCGCTGGGGCGCAGAGTCGCTGGGGCGCAGAGTCGCTGGGGCGCAGAGTCGCTGGGGCGCAGAGTCGCTGGGGCGCAGAGTCGCTGGGGCGCAGAGTCGCTGGGGCGCAGAGTCGCTGGGGCGCAGAGTCGCTGGGGCGCAGAGTCGCTGGGGCGCAGAGTCGCTGGGGCGCAGAGTCGCTGGGGCGCAGAGTCGCTGGGGCGCAGAGTCGCTGGGGCGCAGAGTCGCTGGGGCGCAGAGTCGCTGGGGCGCAGAGTCGCTGGGGCGCAGAGTCGCTGGGGCGCAGAGTCGCTGGGCGCAGAGTCGCTGGGGCGCAGAGTCGCTGGGGCGCAGAGTCGCTGGGGCGCAGAGTCGCTGGGGCGCAGAGTCGCTGGGGCGCAGAGTCGCTGGGGCGCAGAGTCGCTGGGGCGCAGAGTCGCTGGGGCGCAGAGTCGCTGGGGCGCAGAGTCGCTGGGGCGCAGAGTCGCTGGGGCGCAGAGTCGCTGGGCGCAGAGTCGCTGGGGCGCAGAGTCGCTGGGGCGCAGAGTCGCTGGGGCGCAGAGTCGCTGGGGCGCAGAGTCGCTGGGGCGCAGAGTCGCTGGGGCGCAGAGTCGCTGGGGCGCAGAGTCGCTGGGGCGCAGAGTCGCTGGGGCGCAGAGTCGCTGGGGCGCAGAGTCGCTGGGGCGCAGAGTCGCTGGGGCGCAGAGTCGCTGGGGCGCAGAGTCGCTGGGGCGCAGAGTCGCTGGGCGCAGAGTCGCTGGGGCGCAGAGTCGCTGGGGCGCAGAGTCGCTGGGGCGCAGAGTCGCTGGGGCGCAGAGTCGCTGGGGCGCAGAGTCGCTGGGCGCAGAGTCGCTGGGGCGCAGAGTCGCTGGGGCGCAGAGTCGCTGGGGCGCAGAGTCGCTGGGGCGCAGAGTCGCTGGGGCGCAGAGTCGCTGGGCGCAGAGTCGCTGGGGCGCAGAGTCGCTGGGGCGCAGAGTCGCTGGGGCGCAGAGTCGCTGGGGCGCAGAGTCGCTGGGGCGCAGAGTCGCTGGGGGCGCAGAGTCGCTGGGCGCAGAGTCGCTGGGGCGCAGAGTCGCTGGGGCGCAGAGTCGCTGGGGCGCAGAGTCGCCTGGGGCGCAGAGTCGCTGGGCGCAGAGTCCGCTGGGGCGCAGAGTCGCTGGGGCGGCAGAGTCGCTGGGGCGCAAGGATGTCGCTGGGGCGCAGAGTCGCTGGGGCGCAGAGTCGCTGGGGCGCAGAGTCGGCTGGGGCGCAAGAGTCGCTGGGGGCCAGAGTCGCTGGGCGGGCAGAGTCGCTGGGCGCAGAGTCGCTGGGGCGAAGAGTCGCTGGGGCGCAGAGTCGCTGGGGCGCAGAGTCGCTGGGGGGCAGAGTGCTGGGGCGCAGAGTGCGGGGGCGCAGAGTCGGCTGGGGCGCAGAAGTCGCTTGGGGCGCAGAGTCGCTGGGGCGCAGAGTCGCTGGGGCGCAGAGTCGCTGGGGCGCAGAGTCGCTGGGGCGCAGAGTCGCTGGGGCGCAGAGTCGCTGGGGCGCAGAGTCGCTGGGGCTGCAGATGCGCTGGGTGCAGAGTCGCTGGGGAGCAGAGTCGCTGGGGCGCAGAGTCGCTGGGGCGCAGAGTCGCTGGGGCGCAGAGTCGCTGGGGCGCAGAGTCGCTGGGGCGCAGAGTCGCTGGGGCGCAGAGTCGCTGGGGCGCAGAGTCGCTGGGGCGCAGAGTCGCTGGGGCGCAGAGTCGCTGGGGCGCAGAGTCGCTGGGGCGCAGAGTCGCTGGGGCGCAGAGTCGCTGGGGCGCAGAGTCGCTGGGGCGCAGAGTCGCTGGGCGCAGCTGTGGGCGCAGAGTCGCTGGGGCGCAGAGTCGCTGGGGCGCAGAGTCGCTGGGGCGCAGAGTCGCTGGGGCGCAGAGTCGCTGGGGCGCAGAGTCGCTGGGGCGCAGAGTCGCTGGGGCGCAGAGTCGCTGGGGGCGCAGAGTCGCTGGGGCGCAGAGTCGCTTGGGGCGCAGAGTCGATGGCGGCGCCGAGAGTCGCTGGGGCGCAGAGTCGCTGGGGCGCAGAGTCGCTGGGGCGCAGAGTCGCTGGGGCGCAGAGTCGCTGGGGCGCAGAGTCGCTGGGGCGCAGAGTCGCTGGGGGCGCAGAGTCGCTGGGGCGCAGAGTCGCTGGGGGCGCAGAGTCGCTGGGGCGCAGAGTCGCTGGGGCGCAGAGTCGCTGGGCGCAGAACGTCGCTGGGGCGCAGAGTCGCTGGGGCGCAGAGTCGCTGGGGCGCAGAGTCGCTGGGGCGCAGAGTCGCTGGGGCGCAGAGTCGCTGGGGCGCAGAGTCGCGCCATTTATTTCCAGAAAATCCTTTTAATTTTTTTTTTATTTTTTTTAGTTTTTTTTTTTTTTTTTGCTGTTACTAGACAGATGAAAATGTGAGAGCAATTTAGCCGGTAATTTCATTCCCTTTCTTCTTTCATGTATTTATATATTTTTATTTCTCTTATATTAACGGGTTCTAAACTAGTTTTCCTCACGGAATGAGTACCAGAAATATGACCCTTACGCACCTCTTGTAGTTAATTCATGAAATTTATTCTAACTACAAAACTCTGTGTCAGGTGATTTCTTTTATCAATAAGGAGCAATGGAACTTATTATTGAGAATTGAACCCCAGGAGTCTGCTTTTTCTTTTTGTTTTCTACTTTTGCTGTGAAATAGCTCTAGAGACTCTATGACTAGTTACATTGGTGGTGCCTTCTCCGTGCAGTAGAGCCTGGTGGTACGGCTTGTGAAGTTGCTTGGAAGTGACTCAAGTTCAGGAGCTGGCAGGTAAGTGTTCCTGGGTTCTACGGTTCTTTAATGTCGAGGAGTTTGAGTGCTTCCTTCACCTTGTCTGTTTTCAGTGAAATTACTTCCGTGGCTTCTAAGCTCCCTTTCCAGCCCTTCCAAATCTAATGAGAATGAAAGCTAAAAAGAAAGCCCCACCAACTCAGAAGCTCAAGTGCTTACAGGTAAGCCTGACTTTGAAGAATGTTCTTAACTATTTGTTAGGATTCAACAACGGGCAGTGTGGAAAAAGGTGCCTTAATGTGCACTCAAATTATGCCTTGCAGTGAGTAGAAACCGATGGGGAAGGTACTGGTGGAGTTATGACAACTTTCACTCAGTGGAAGTCACAAGACTGTGCTGTTCCTAAAAGAAATGCCGCTTTCACAACATGTAAAGTCAAAAGCAGTGTGAAGAAAGCCTCTCCTCTTCCCTACAGGCCTGCGTCTCGGCTGTGGAGAAAGATTTGGAATAGGTCCACCAGTGAGGAGAGACTATCTTCCTCCCAGGCTGTACAAACCAGTGTCTGAGGTGGCGTTGTTTTCTTCTAGTTGTTTGTCTGAGTGCTTTTGACCAATAATCTTGTGTGAAACACTGTCCTGCCCCTGTTAAGTTCACTATAAAAGTTAGGCTATTCGGGCAATAAAATGGAGCAGCATGATCTGACTCAACCGGTGTCTGCCGTGCTTTCGGCCGTGATTCCTAACAAATGGCGCCCGAACAGGCTGAGACCTGAACAGGACATCTCAGCGGAGCGGGAGAGCAGCGGCGCCGGGAGCCCAGGAAGAGCAGCGGCACCGGGACATCAGAGCAGCAGCGTCGGCACATCGGAGCAGCGCCGGGAGACCCGAGGCACACGGAGGGACTCCTGCCGGATGGAGAGAGCCCTGAGAGACGCTGCAGAGCCACGGACGGCTCTGAGAGACACAGACCTGACAGAAGCCGGAACACCTGAGAAGCATTGAGAAACTCCAAGCACCGACCCGGACAAAGGACTCACGGTGAGACACGGGGAAAAGAAACCGTGGGGAGCGTGGGAAGAGATCTGCGGGGAAACGCGGGAAACGGAACCGCGCAGGGACGTGGGAACGAGGTCTCGCAAAGGCTGCAACAGCATAAATAAAGGTATGGAGAGACAAGCGGCGTATGATTTGCTCAAATGCTTTTTAGAAAAGCGGAGCACGCAGGGTATAGGCTGCAAAAAGGATTTACCAGGATTATTAGCATATGGAGTAACAAAGGGTTGTTTTATCAATCCGGATACAGTTTTTGAACAAACAGAGTGGCGTAAATTTGGGGACAAATTGTTTGATGAAGTTATTAATGAAAGTGAGGCTGCTAAAAAATTATTGAAGCCTTGGAGAGCAGTCACTAACGCCTTAGCTATACATCAGGCTGAGCAGAGAGTCGCTGCTGCTGCTACAGAGCGACTGGGATTGCCAGGAAGTGCTGGTAGTGTTAACCCTCAACAAGGAGGGATGGGGGGAGCTGGGGATTACCCATTGCCGCCTTCAGTGAGGACGATAACGCTGCCTCAGGGGGCTATGGGGCAATGGGAGCCTCCTCCTCTCTCATCATCCTTCTCAGAGTCGGCATTGGTGCTCCCGCCATCACCAGCAGCACCACCGGCTCCTTCTCACAAAAGTGGGGAAATGGATGAGGAAATAAGAGAGCAAAAACCAGACAGAAAAAACACAAGCCCGTTTATAGTGTTCAGGAGGTGTTCAGGAGAGGCAGAGGGTGTGGAAGCAAATAGCAGATGAGGCTGTATGCGAAGGTGAACACGGGATAGCTGCACAATTGGTTCAAGAGGCCTTCCCGGTAGTATATTCACCACCGGACGCCCAGGGTAATGTTACGGTTAATCTCGTGAATTTGGACTGGAAATTGTTAACTCAGCTGCGGTCCACAGTAAATGAGTCAGGTCTGAAAGGTGAACCTACGAGACAGATGTGGGACTATATTTGGGGAACGAATATTTTGCTTCCAGGAGACATATGTAGCATAATGAAGTTAATTTTGACCCAACACCAGCAGCTCTTATTTAATGCCCATTGGCAGGCTGCTTGTCAAGAAGCAGTCACAGTGATAAGAGCACCTGGGGACCCTTTACATGGGGTCACGCTGGAAGAGTTGATGGGGGTAGGACCGTATTTTAGGACAGAAGCACAGGCATTGCTGGGACCTGATAAAGCGAAGGAATCGATGAGAATGGCCAGAAGAGCATTGGATCGGATAAAGGGGCCAGGGGGAATACCTTCCTACATGGGAATCAAACAGGGTAGAGAGGATCCATTTGGGCTTTTTATTGACCGCATAGCAAACGCCATACAGGCGGCTGGGGTGCCTGATTACCTCCAGGGCACGATATTAAAACAGTGCGCAATTCAGAATAGCAACCCTTCTACTCGCAATATATTGGCTTCCTTACCCGGGACATGGACAATCGAGGAAGGGTTGGAAAGAATGGCTCAGGTACCAGTAGGCCCACAGGCTATGTTAGTAGAGGCAGTAAAGCAATTAGGTGACAGCATGCGAGAGCAGGCACAGGCTATGAAAGAGCATGCTGAGTTTACACAGAGTCAAGTCCTTGCAGCTCTTGCTCCTTTGCAAACCGCCGGGTCACGCTCTGGTGGTCAAGCACCACCCCGTAGTGGCCAAATACCACACCGCTTGCGATGTTATCGTGGTGGTGTTTTTGGACACGTGAGACGAAACTGCAAAGCTGGGGCAGTATGGTGCTCAGATTGTCAGTCGGGCAATCACAGTGAAGCGGCATGTCGACGCAACGTGTCGGGAAACGGCCGGAACAGCGGGAAGAGTCGCCCCGCGACGACACAAAACGCGGCCGCATGCACAGCAACACCGAGGGGGAACCCGTTCCTCTCCGACCAGCCACAAGAGGGAGCCGATGTATCTATAATCAGCACACACAACTGGCCGCAGCATTGGCCAACATCTGAAACCAATGCCACGGTGGCCGGGGTCGGAGGAATGACACTTGCCGTCAGTCACCACCCCTGCGGTGGACAATAGGGGACAAAGTGGTGAAATGTTGTGTCTCTGTTAGTCCGTTGCCTGACGGGGTGCACGCACTAATAGGGCGGGACATCCTTGCTCAAATGGGAATGGTCCTTACCTGGGAACGCCCTTTATAGATATGGCCATTGTTTGGACTTTCCCGATCCCGCTCCTGTGGAAGAATGATGATCCTGTGTGGGTCGAGCAATGGCCGTTAAAACGGGAAAGTCTGATACAAGCGCACGAGCTGGTTAAAGAACAGTTTCAACAGGGGCACTTAAGGTTGTCAACGAGCCCAGTGGAATACACCTATCTTTGTGATTAAAAAGAAGTCGGGAAAGTATCGGCTGCTCCACGATCTGCGCGCGGTAAATAAGCAGATGTACGATATGGGAGCAGTGCAGCCAGGGTTGCCTAATCCTGCGATGATACCTGAAGGATGGCATTTACTCATAGTGGACTTAAAGGACTGTTTCTTCACAATTGCTCTCCATGAAAATGATAAGCAAAGATTCGCTTTTACACTTCCTGCAATAAACCAAGAAGGGCCAGACCAGAGATTTGAGTGGACGGTCCTGCCGCAGGGAATGCGAAATTCGCCAACTCTATGTCAATTCTGTGTCGACGATGCTCTACAGCCGTTGCGACGAAAATGGTCAGGAACAATAATCTATCATTATATGGATGATATTCTATTGGCCCAGTCAACACCATTTTCTTCACAGCAAAAGGATGAACTAATGAAGCAACTTAAACAGAGAGGCTTAGTAGTTGCCCCCAAGAAGGTACAGGAGACAAGCCCATGGAAATATCTTGGATGGCATATCTCCGATGCTACGATCCAACCGCAGAAATTGACAATACAATCAGACCTTAAGACTCTTAACGACGCCCAGAAGTTGATGGGTGATTTGCAATGGATTCGACCAGTGGTTGGTATTCCCAACGAGCTGTTAAATCAACTACGACCTTTGCTACGAGGGACAGATCCAGCAGCACCAATTCAGCTTACAGACCAACAAAAACAAGCACTACAGCTAATAGCCTCAATGATTACAACACAGGCTACGCATCGGCGTATAGAGGGTGCGCCTCTTGATCTAACTATTTTGTGTGGCCCCCAATATTTGATGGGTGCGATAACACAGCAAAAAATAAAAACGGGGGAGAAGCAGGGAGATATGGTGGTACTAGAATGGCTAGCTCCTCCGTTGCGGCCACGACTGAACAATTCAAGAAAAAATCACCACATGAGCAGAATTAATTAAAAAGGGACGAAGTAGAACCTTGCAAGTAGACGGGGCCCCTCCTAACACCATATGGTTACCCATGAAGTCAAGTGATCTGGAATGGTATATACAAAATTCTTGAGGAACTGCAAACTGCTCTATTGCATGATGGAGCCATGTTAATAGCAAAACCATTACAATCTCCTGTCTTGTCCTGGATGAAAAACCAGGGCTGGATAAGTAGACCAAAGCGATCACCATAACCAGTTGCAGACGCAATAACAGTCTTTACAGATGCCGGTAAGTGCTCCAGAACTGCTGCAGTGACATGGAAGGATGAGCATGGCTGGCAACATCAGATTTTGCAAGCTCAGAAAGAGGATTCATTACAGACACTAGAACTGTTCGCAGTAGTATGGGCGTTTGTAAAATGGAAAGATGTTCCATTGAGTGTTGTATCTGACTCTCTTTGTGTAGTAGGCATAGGCAATCGCATTGAGGACTCAAGTTTGCGAGAAGTGCAGAATGGACGACTGGTTCAACTATTGACAAGTTTGCAGCTTGCAATCGCACAGAGGAGTAAGCCGTATGCAGTGATTCATATTCACAGTCATCAATGGGAACAAGGGCTCGGAGAAGGCAATGCCCGAGCCGACCAATTAGTTGCTGCTGCAGTCACTGAAGCTCCACTATCACCATTTTGCCGAGCTCGAGAAGCTCATTCCATATTTCACCAGAACACGAAGGGACTAGCTCGAGCCTACAATTTGTCTAATGCTGACGCTCAAGCAATCGTGAAGGCTTGTCCCATATGTAGTTATCATAATTTAGGAATGGGACTCGGGTGTGGAGTTAACCCAAGAGGGTTGAAAGCTAATGAAGTGTGGCAAATGGATGTCACTCGTGTTACAGCCTTGGGACAGGTTAAAATACTTGCATGTAACGATAGATACCTCTAGCCACATGATATGGGCTACTGCAAGAACCCGGGGAAAAGGCTCGGGATGTGCGGCATCACCTCACTAGTTGTTTTGCTGTGTTAGGGGTACCTAGCACTATCAAGACTGACAATGGTCCAGCTTATAGTAGTGGGCCACTGAAACGATTTATGCAATTATGGAATATCAATCATGTTACTGGCATCCCACACTCCTCCACAGGACAGGCGATAGTGGAAAGGGCAAATGGAACAATGAAATGATACTTAGAAAAGTTCAGAGACATTGAAGACGTAAAAGAAAGAATAGGAAAGGCTCTCTTTGTACTTAACCATTTATGTGTGTTTGGGGACAGCACTGAGCCCCCTATAGTACGTCACCATGCCGGGGCAGAAACTTCTAAGCCACCATGCATGAAGGTGTTATACAGAGACATGAAAACAGGGCAATGGCTAGGCCCTGCTGAAGTGATCTACCTGGGGCACGGTTACGCTTGTGTTTCTTCCCCTACAGGTGCAATCTGGGTGCCTAGCCGATGCGTAAAACCAGCCGTTGAAGACACAGCATGTGCAGTCTCCTCTGGGGGTCTCTAGGGGAGCCTTCATGCTGAAGGCTCGTAGTCTTCCTCTCACCTTTGTACTCACTCAGCACAATTCCAAGTTTATAGAACAGTTTCTGCAGGTCTTGTCTCCCAGCCGTCCTTCAGCTTTTTTCCTTCCTCTTAATCTCTTGGCCTCCTAGCCAGATACCAAAGATCCGCATAGTATCCCATAACAGTCACTAGTTTTTATCAGTTGTTCTGAAACTCCCAGACATCAAACACAAACAGCTTTCTTATTTGACGCTTCACGAGTAATTAAAACATTCTTCCCCAGCCATTCACGGACACATCTCTAGCAGTGTTAAGTTAATCTCGAAGAAGACAGGAAAAAAGGCTGTAACTGTTAGAAATAGAAGTCCGGAATAACAAAAGCAAACAGGTTCATAAATTTAAGGAGTGTTTTCTGAAGACGTGATAAATTGACTAGAAGGAGGGGGAGACTGGGACACACTGCATCTGTGGTTCAAGAATTAAATTGCCAGTGCAGGGCCCAGAGGCAGACAGGATTCAAACAGAATTGTTCTTTATGGACACGAATTGTTGAAACATTCCTCACACACTGTTGCATAAACATCATCAGCGGTCCAAAGTTGATTACAATTGGGTTGTAATAGAAAACACTACAGAAAGCCTGTCCTTGTCACAAATCACTAATAGCAATGTAAAAAAACTAATAATTTTGTTGTCTGATTTCAGAAAAGGCTCCAGGCTACAAAATCTGACACTGACAAATGTGTAAGTGGACTGGACTATTTTTCTTGAACTTCTTCAGACTGTATGGCAATCATCCATTGAATATTTCAATATCAACAGTTTTAAGCAATTGTCGGACATTGGAAAATATAACTTCAGATATTCGGGTACTTCCATGAAAGCACTGACACTGAAGAACATTTTAGTCACAGATCTGTCCTTTTCACAGAACGACCTGTACCGGATATTTGCAGACATGAACATTGAAGCCTTGACAGTAGCAGGATCAGAGATGATACATATGCTATGTCCTTCATCTAACAGTCCCTTGAGGTACCTAAATTTTATAAACAATGATTTAACCGATCTGCTTTTTCAAAACTGTGATCCATTAATTCGACTGGAGATATTTATCTTACAGAAGAATAAAGTCCTGGTCCCCAGTCCTTTTTACTCACAAGCTCTCCACCTGTCCATTACTCTCCCCCAGCTGGAGCTGGGTACACTCTAATTGCTCCCTCACATAAGGGCAACCCCACCCCCTCGCTTCCCCAGCCTGTCTCTCCTAAAGAGGACGTAGCTCTCCATGATTGCGTTCCAGTCATGCGAGCTGTCCCACCACCTCTCAGTGATTGCAACAAGATTGTGGCCCTGCGACTGAACACAGATCTCGAGCTCATCTTGTTTATTTCCCTTTCTCCATGCATTGATGTACGGGCACTTTAGGGAAGCAGCAGGTACGGTTACCCCTGGGGGGATGCAAGAAGAAGATACTGGATGGGGGACTGGGAACGCTACCTTCTCTGAGGAGCTCTCAGACAATCCTATGGGAGAGCTCAGAAGTCTTTCCCTGTCTTCAACGGTGACAGTAATGACCACTTCCCCCAGCCCTTCTCTGTCACCTTTCCCCCATCAAACCTAGTTTAAAGCCCTGTTAATCAGCCCAGAGAGCCTGCTCCCCAACACACTTGCACCCTACTTGCCCAGTCCTGGTCTCCAGATTTTTGCGCCAGGAACATGATTCCACAGAGCCTTCAAGCCTTTCTGTAGCTTTAAAATGCTGAAATGCTCCCTGTCTTAAGAACTAGTTCCCCGCCTGGCACTACGAATCGTTGCTTAGGGCTAAAAGCTGAGGCTCTTGTCTGTTACTGTGAACAGCCAGAGAGACTCAGCCTCCCTTCTCTGAGTTTGGTGCTGCCTAGCCTTAACATCTTCAGTACTCAGTAGCGTCCCCCAGGCTCTCGTATTTTGAGAGGGATTGCACTCCCCTTATATAATATGGGAACCCCTTTTTCTGTCTCAAGGGTGAATGGTGTAAGGCACTTGTAAATCATTGCAGGTTGTCGTTGTTGTCCATTGCAGTGTAAATTAAGGCCATGCAAGTACCTTCTACTATTTCTTCTTCCCTTTCATTTGTTGTCTGGTTTCTACCAAATGTTACGTTTTTTGTGAAATGCCTTAAAACAACATTACTTTTTAATTAACAACTTATTTTTTTTTCTCTCTAGGTCTGCCAGTAGCTGACAGAGTAGAAAGGTGTGCTTCTCTCTCTTTCTTGGATAGAGTTAGAGGCAATGCCTGATATCTGGCCGAGATGGACAAAGGAGAAGGACAAGGACAAAGCCTGGGAGGAAGACTACAAGCCTTCAGCACGAGAGACCCCCAGAGGGACCACTGGGGACTGATACGCATGCATCAGTGGGAGGGTTTGGAATCTGGGAACTAATTATAATAACCCTGCCTTTTCTAGAAGTAGTAATGAATGTGTATTAGCCTAGGAGCATAAAAAGCAGCCACCTGATGTAATGTGTGTGCGTGTTGGAGGAGCCCAGACTCCCCGCGCACCCAGTGCTCTTTACTTGCCTTTTATTAACCCCATAAATCTCATAAAGCTAAGTTGACTTGGAATTTATAACAGTATGATGGAAAGTGTTGCACTCCAAGTTGGGAAGGGGAGAGGAAAATGCTCATGTATATGTGAGAATTGTACTCAAACAGCTGATTACACCTTTGTATACACCTTTTAAAGGAAAACTTTAAACCTGAGAAGCAACAGGCAGTTTTCTATGTTTCCTGATATGATATCATGATATATAGATACGATATTAAAGGATGATATCATACCTATAGTCTGCTGCAGGCTGAAAAGTAGCCTGTGCCTCAGGTACCGTTTTTTGCCTTTTGCTTTTGTTACTACATGCTGGTAAGTCTTCAAAAGGGAAATGAAATTATCCTACCCAGAAGAAACACCATCTGGAAGACACTTGAGTTGTTAGGACCTGAATTCTCACTGAAACCAAAGGCAGGGATCTTACTGACCTGAAGAAAGAGACTTTAATCTATCCTGGCTTGTTTACTCCTGAAGGAGCGTGAAAGAAAGAAACGTTTGTCTTTGTATGTGAAGAGGAGGTGAAGGAACAGCTAGTGCAAGGAACACACAAATCTGTTGTTGCTCCTGGAACTTGTGCTCCAGCCAGTTTGCATATGCAGCCACATTTTGTTGCCTTGGTTAAATTCCTCCTCAAGGCAGAATGGTTTTATTACAGCTGTAAGGAGCTGCAAACTCAAAGATGACACAAGTGCTATGCAGAGCCCTCGGATAAGAAATGTCCAGAATGGTGACTGAGTCTGGGATATTGGGATCCTCGGAGCTGAGCCTCACTAGTTCAGCTGGGCAATCTTGGTGGATGCCCCGGAGCCCAGCCTTTGGGGTTGGGGTTCTGGAGGAAGATACAGGCACCACGGTCATCCATCTTCTGGGCACTGCTCTGGGTAGGCATAAGGCTTTAGTATCTTTGGGACCAAAACCTTTACACATTGGTGTGTTGGGAGAATTTGGACTGGGCATGGGGACTGCCTGTCCAGGGTGGAGGGGATCTCTCTCTCCCCAGGTGATGTCTCTGGGTTGCTTGGCGCACATCCAAGGGAGGTTTCTCATAGTACCATGTTTTCAGAAGTTTGTTCACCTGATCCTGGTGTGTGATACCTCGTAGAAGATCTTCCTCTTCCTCCTTAGGCAAGTCAAAGCTGTGCTGCCTGATCTCTTCCCGCATGCTTTCAAAGAAGTGGAGGATGCATTTGTGAGCAAAGAGCCGGCTGTGCTCGCAGCAGGTTTCCTCAAAAATCTTCTGCTCAATGTCAATGTAGTTGCTCCAGTGACGGGTCTGCAGGAGGGCAGCCTGGTTGAAGCAAGGCCTGAGCCAGCGGGCAAGGAAAGCTGCTATGATGAGCATCAACAAAATGCTCCAGCCGAGGGCCTGCGTGATTAGAAATAAGCAGAGGAACAGGATCAGCAACAGCATGAAGGCAGCACAGGCTGTAACACTGAGACAGGGAGTCTGTGGCTGCAGATCTAGACTGCTGTCCCCAAACTGTCCCTTCAATCCAGCACCCCAAACTGCACTCAGGATGCGAGTGCTGGGGAGGTGGATATGACATTTATCTGTGCATCAGCAGCTCAGCAGAATAACTCTTTGCAAAGTGGGTCTGGAGCATTTGCTCTGAGCATGGGAGCACCATGTATGAAGGGGACTTTGGTGCTCCCCTGATGGGCACGTACTAATCTCCAGGACATTCACCTGCCACCTACACCAGTTTCAGATGTCTCATTCTCTCATTGTTCCTGAGCAAACAGCTTTCATCTCTCTCAGCTTTCACTGTCCTTGAAGCAGCAGGTCCTGCCTGCAAGGTTAGAAAGGTCTTCTGACCCTGAACAGATAGGGCCTTAGCAAACCCAATACTCCTTACAACTGCTTCTTGCTATCTGGGTTTAGAAGTTGCTGGCTCTTCTAGAAGCAAAATCCAATTAGGATTAGGACAGCAAAGAGCAGTCTTGCTCCCAGCAGGACCGTGGTGAGGCTATGCCAAATCAAAGAAGGGTGGGATCAGCAAATGCCTGCGCGGAGCATCTCAAGGACACAGGGCTGTGCTGGCAGCCACCCACCTGGGACCAGCAGCGCAGGTACCTGGACACTGCCCTGCGGGACGTGCTGCTCTCCACCAGCTCATCCTCCTTGCAGGGCACCTTGGCAAGCAGCTCCTGCACTTGCTCTGCGGTGGAATTGGTGAAGCCTGGGAACTTCTCAGGATCCACAGAGCTGCTGAAGGCACAGATCAGGCACTTGCCATCCAGGAGGGCGACCACGATCCAGACGGCTGGGGCGACCATGGCTCGCTGCATGATGGAGGAGCACATGTACCTGGAGCAGGGGGGAGACATGGGAGGGGAGGTATGTGGGTAGCCTTCTCCTTGCCCAGAGCCTTGATGGACACAGGCTGTCTGGGCTCTGCAGCCCTCCCAGAGCAGATGCACGACTTTCCCCCACACCACTCCAGCTGGCATCTCTTCTGCTCTGGGGTCTCTCTGCTGGGGCTGATCCCCAGTGTGAGGTCTGGTCCAGTGCACAACAGGGCTTTTATTTATTTATTTATTTTCTACTTGGAAAATCCTTTTCTCAGAGACCTTTCTCACCCTGCTGTGTGCCAACCTGTGCTCTGGGTAAAGGTTTGTGCTGCCACAGGGTGAAGCTGATTCTCCTCACCTTTTTACCATTGTAAGTCTGTAATAACTTAGTTGAGGGGAGGGAAATCACAGTGCTGTTGATAAAGAAAACTGTGATGGAAATGCCACACTTCCTTCACATTCAAACACCTCATCTTTTTGCACATTTAAGCCCCTTGAGAAAACCCCTGTGTGCACAAAAGGGACAGGCAGCACTGCAGTTTCCCAGGGTGGCAGCGTAAATGTAGCTGCTTGTTTCGAGATGTTCCTGCCCTTCTTTGCTGGGGATGGGGCTGTGGAGCTCCCTGCTGTGGCCACCTGGGAAGCACTGACAGTGCCCCAGAGCCTGGGCTTGTGGGGTAAGGTGTTGGGAACTGAGTTCAGAGGAAAACAAGTGACCGAGAGGATCAAAGATACAGAGAGAGACAGGATAAATGGGAGGGGGGACACCACTCCTGCTGCAAATCCCACCTGATGACAGCCGGGTCCTTCCTCCTGCGCCCCTGCGGCCGCCTCCACTCATCCAGCATCACCAGGGACTGTCTGTTGAGGATGAGGCCACAGAGGAAGAAGGCAACGGGGGGCACAAACAGGATCCCCAAGCCATAGGCCATGTTGTACTGGTGCAGGCAGGGGCAGCTGAAGTCAAAGCAGGTGTAAATCTTTATACTGGCCAGGGCTAACAGCCCACAGATTCCATTCATTACAGACTCCGAGTTGGACTGGAAGTACTGGAAGATCATCCGGAAGCGATCCATCGTGCTCTTTTGGCTAATTCTCCTCCTGGGAAGTCCCTGGGCTGCCCAGCACAGTCTGTCTCCTTTCCTCCCCCTTTCTGCTGCCTGGGGATGATGAGGATGGAAGAGGGCACGCAGCTTTCACAGGTCTGTCTCTCGCCCTGTTGGTAGCTTTTCTAGGTGAGCAGATGGATACAGCCTCTGGGGGTTGTTTTTTCTGCCCTGTTTCTCATTTTCATGGCTGTCCCACGTGTCAGCCAGTGACAGCCTCCGGTAGCACTGGTCCCTCCCTCCTTTCCCAGGGCTGCTCACTCACAGTGGTGAGCTGTCAGCAGGTGACTGGGAGCTGTCCTTTCCCCATCAAGAAATTCATCAGCTGGTAGAAACCAGGAGAGTCCAACTTGCTCATCTGTGCAACCTCTGCCTCCCTGTCTTTTTTTGGCCAAGCAGATCCCCAGCCCTGAGCAGGCAGGGAGTGCACGCTTGGCTTTGAGCCCACACTATCATCTCCAGCTCAGATTTCCATAAATGAAAATGGGCTGAAAGGCCCAACCTTGCAGTGTAGAGGCTGTGAGGATTAACAGTTTTCCAAGCCTGGAACGTCACCTCATGGCAAAGGTTTTGTACCATTTGTGCATTTGCATGCAGCACACCTGCCTCCACATTTGGGACCCTTGTGTTGTGGCAGCTCATATTTCCCATATAAGATGCTTGTCATGAAGCTGGTGAATGTCAAAAGATGCCATTTTGTGTAAGAGAGGGTTTTATGAAGGGAAAACTCGTGTTTGCTTCTAAAACCTCTGCTTGTGCTGCTGTGGGTTGTGTGGCTCTGCCTGCCAGTGAAAAGGCATCGTTGGCACTGGATGTGCATTTTGGCTCAGTGTGCACTAGGAAATCCTGCAGCCAACATGAGCTGCACAGGGCAGGTTGTACGTGGAGGGGCTCCTTCTCACTCCCTGTCAGAGAGCACAGTGCAGTCACAGCAACTATCATGGAAAAAGCATAAGGAAAGCTCCAAGTGAGCTCATTTATCCCACTTATCCCACTGCTCCTGTTGTGGGGCAGGCTGCCTCGGTGGGATCACACCTATAGGGAGGGTTGGTACCTCAATGTAGATGCTCGTGGGCACGCAGAGTGTTGTGCAATGTGTGCTGACTCATGGGGTCACCGTGTCGTCTCCTCCAATCTAAACAGCAACTTGCACAATTACTGTAATGAAATGCAGTTGCACCAGCCATCATATTTGTGTTGTCCTTGACTAGCGAATGGAATTGATTGTTAAAGTGCATCCATCAGCAGTAAAAACCCGTGGCTAATCAGCCACTGTTTGCATTTTTGCCATCATACGGCATCAGGACCCCTCGCTGAACTCTGCAGGTGATTTTTAGCCAGGAAGCAGCCTGTCCAGTTTCCAAAGTGCTTTAATGCTTGTTGGGTTTCTCATTGAATGGCTTACATTTATGTGCTGATGGGTTGGGAAAGTTCTGTGCCCTTTCTGCAGAACAATTACTTTAAAGAAATTGTTTTGTTTTTACATCTTTTCTGGCAAAAACGTAGGAAAGACTAAATAGGTCCCTACAATTCAGGACAATAAGATGTAAGAGTAGGAAGCATTCTCTGGGCACCACAAGCAACACGGAATTTTTACTTCTCCAGAATACGATCTCCTGGCCTGGATGTCAGAGGTCCATACAGGATGCCTCATGGCAATTATTGTGCACTGCTGTGATCTGGGGTCTTGCCAGTAACTCTGAGCTGAGACATGGGGTTGCTGAATCATAGGAGGGAATATTCCTCCATTTGTCGCAAAAGGAGCTTCCTGGGGTGAGAGAGAAAGAACCCTGGAGGTAAGTAAGTTGCTAAACATGGACAAATGTACGAACTGATTTCCAAACCCAAGCACATTTGACTATCCCTCTTGCTCATTTGACTCGGGCACCGTCCTCTGAGTTAGGCAGCTGCTCCTTGGCAGCTGATCTCCAAGACCACACTGGGAGCTGCTGTTGCTCAGTGCAACCTTTGTGTGCCCATGTGGGTTTTGACCTAGCACCACAGCACATCAGAGCAGTGGGGAAGGGACAAGGACACATTTCCCTATTCCTTTGTGGTTGTAAAATAGCAGGCCTGGGCTTTTTACCTGAGATGATAGAGAGGATGGAGGGTACAGGCACGGGAAATCCTCATCATAGAGATGAAAGCTCTTTTACTCCATCACAGACTTCTTGCTTGAGGAAAGAGGATAATTTCACCACCAAAATTCATGTTGTTCATTTCAAGTAGGACAAACTCCGCAGAATGATGCAGTCAGATTTGTGCATGCTTTGGGATCCCTATTCTGCTCTGGGACTGAGCTGGTACCTGGGGAGCAGACACTTCACCCAAAGCTTGCTCTGCTGGAAAAAGGCCTTTGGCACCAGCACTTGTGGTGTGGGAGGTGCTGAGTTACCTCATTAGGAGCCACTGGCAGTTGTTTATAACTTTGTCAAATTATTTAATTACATGGACTGATTTTTTTCTGTCCTGAACGTCTGCCTCAGGCAAAATATTTTTAGAAAACTGCTGCATGGAATGGTCAGCTGCTCCTGGGCTGATGTAAGGGAAAAAAAAAGGGACTTATTTTCCTCTGTTATTAAAGGGGGGTTGTGCAACTGATCTGAAAATGCACAGCAAACCTGTCACCCACCTGGGGGGCATGGTTGTGACTGCTCCCAATAAGAGCAGGGGTCCCTCCCCACCAGTGTGCCAGGAGCCCAAATTATCCCCCTGCTCCTTTTTGTGCTACTGCTGCCAGCCCTGTAGTTACCCTGGGACAAACCAGGAGCAAAGGACCAGCCTGCAGGAGATGGCTGTGAAATCAATTTAGCTCCGAACGTCTCTTCCTTCCTAATTTCTTGGCTCATTACTTGCCAGGCAGGGATGCCACCTCCAGTGAGCACTGTGTTACAGCAAGTGCTGTGCAGCCAGGAGCAGCAGGCACTCAGAGACTGCTCCTCTCCTTGGCCTCCCTGTGTTTCTGCACCCATGTGCGCATGCAACCTACTGCATCTCTGGGGTGCAAGGGCAGCTGGGTGCTCCCAGTCGCTGCAGGAGGACTCTGGTCCTGTCTCTGGGGACAGCAGAGCTGCATCACTGCCTTCTTCCTCCAGGCAAACAAAATAAATGCAAAGCTGGCAGGGGACTTTACCCCTCACTGCCTGGAAATCTTTCAGCATCTTGTATTTATCATGGAAGAAACCACCTTCCATTGCAGCTGCACATGAAGAAGGATATAGGCAGTGTTTTCTCCCTCCAAATAATGTGCAAGCTCACTGACAGCAGAGACAAACTAGGACACAGTTAGCTCCATGGGGCAGGGAGCATCCACATCTGAGTACTTCTGCAGAGCTGAGTACTCTCCCCAGGTTAAGCAAATAACGAGTAATGACCATTAAATGATTAACGAGATGCTAGAAAAATAATGGCAGCATTGTGAAATGTAGTTTGTCTTCACTAATAACGTTCTCTGGAGATTGGATGCTCCTGTGCTCTGCCTTGTAACTTCGTTAAAGCACCAACATGCAGCTGAGTGCCAGTGAGGAAATACATGGCTTAGTTTTGTGCTTTTCTTCTTAAGAGCTCATTATATATTGCTCTCCTGGCCATTAAAGCTTAGCTCTCTGGCTTATGTGAAAGCCCTGTTTCCTGATCTCTGCGTTATCCCAACCTTGACCTAATTCACGCAGTTTCTGACTGAGAGAGTGTTTTGCAGGTCCATTTATCTACTTGGCTTCGAACAGATGCTGCGGCGAGATCATTTTAGATGGAGTCTCTTCTCGTCTTGGGAGTGAATTAGGGAATAAGGCAGAGAATTAGGGAATCAGGCTGATCGCTTAATATCGTGGCTCAGTGATTTTCAGACTTCTCTGATCTGATAACGCTCGCACATCTTCTAAGGGAGGTGCAAACTCCAGATAGCAGATTTAAGGCTGCTGACATTTAACTAGCTTTCCTTGTTATTTTTCTCAGACTCTTAAAATTAGGCTCTGGCCCTGGGGAGCCTGCAGTTTGCAGGCTGAAAACCACTGATAACAAACTTTTCTTGATAAGGCAGTTTGTCTTCAGTGCACAGAGGTGTCACAGAAACCACTGAGGTGTTCAGGAGGAAATGGGGCTCAGGTGAGGGAGCCCAGTTCAGTGTGGTAACCTCAAGCTTGGGCAACTCTCAAGGGCTGACGTGGACCTGGACTGGTGTCACTGCTTCAGGCAAGATCTTCAGTAGCTGGATTTGTGCCTTCTAAGCCAGCAGCTCTGCCTCTACAGTGTTAATTCACCAAGGATCCTCTGGTAAGTCATGGCTAAAAGCTGATTCTGCAGCTGTATTTCTTTCCAGTCTCTGGAGGATCTCTTGGTCAGTGGGTGTGAGATCTCTTGAGGTATGGGCTTTGGCTGCCAATGCTCACATCCCATGCCGGTTTGCTCTTATTCTTTTCCTGACTGTTACATTAAAATGCCAATAAAATTATAAAATCTTGCCTGATTTAACCCTGGAGAATATGGTTTTATAAAATACCAAAACAAAATTTGGAGGTTAATTCCATACAAATCGTTCCATGCTGGCAATGCAGACGAGAGATCAAATATGAACCACTTTCTGTTATCAGTTACCAATGACTTGGGTGGCAACCCAACTGTATGACCACATAAGCCCCTTGTGTTTACAAGATGTGAGCCACAGCACAGATTTCTTAAAAGTCTACTGTGGCTATGGGTAAGTTGCTATAACATGACTCCACCTGTACTGGCTGCGATCAGGCTTGATTCTGATACCTCCAATATCTACAAATAATGATGTTCATGAGGAACTGAATAATGTGACAGACCTTTTGTTAGGAGTGATACAGTATTTCTATCACATGTTAAGAATGGAAGACATTTGTAAAGACAAAGTTTCATTGGGAAATTTCACAATTCTTTTTCACAAGAAAAAATACTTAACTGTGGCCTTAAAAAAAGTTGACTGTGGTTTTGAGTCAGGCTTTGGGCTCTGAGGGAGGAGCTTTATAAACGGGGAGCTGTGCCTGTTTGCACCCAGAGGAACAAGAGCAGGGAGGATGGAAGGGATTAGAGCAAAGGCTCTAAGAGCTGTGGAAATACTTTTTTTTGTTCAACATGAAGCAATGTCTGGGTTTACAGGGCAGGCAGCACCCATCAGTAACAGCATGTTGAAAAGGAGTGAGTGCTGTGCAGCCTGAGCTCAGCATGCAGCAGGGATCCTACACTCCTCTTGGCCATCCATCGGTCTGTCCGATCATACTCCGAGGCAAGAGGGGGATGTTTTGGGAGCACTGAGCATCCCAGAATGGGGCCAACACTCATCAGCAGGGCCAGGAACATCAGCATTGCTGTCCCTGCTGTGTTGTCACTCAGTGACAACTGCCTGACCGTTGGTGCCATCGGTATGGTGTTAGAGATTGAAGCATAAGCGTGGTAGTCACTAGGTACACTTGAGCTCATTTTATATGTGTATCTGAAGTACAAAGATTTATGAAGCTAAAAATCTTGAAAGATTTGTAAATCTTTTCTGGGCTTAAATAGTGGTACAGCAGCGTTAAATACTTCTTATGCCTGTGAATAAACTGCAGAGGTTGTTCTGGTAGCTGAGAGGGAAGCAATCCCGCAGGGTGCTGCTAAAGGTGATGGTCTCCACTCCTCTGCGCTGTGAGCCACAGAACAGGAGGTGGAGTTTCCTGAGAAAAATGGGATATGCATCGAGACATCAGAACCAAAACGCTACAGACTGCTTCTTGCTGCAGGAAAATCTGATCCCTCTCCACAGGGGTAAAAGTTCATCCTGTGTCCGTGGTTCGTGGTGGGGTGAGCAGGGAGATGTGCTTTTCCAGTGCCCTGTGTAGTTACTCACTCTTGCCTGCAGTGATAGTTACAATAACCCACCTCTACAAGAGGAGGCTGTGCAGGTGGTGAGGCATGATATGTGCCTTGCTAAGGCATGAGACATCACACAGAGGGGTAGTAGTCTGTTTGGGGTTTGGGTTTGGGTTCTCTCTCTGCCTCAGATTTACTTCAGGCTCCAGTGCTACCTCCAGCCTGGCCTCAGAGCGAGCCACAAACAGAAAGCTCATTATGGCATTTCTCCACAGAGATAGAGTGGCTGTTTCTCATCAGGATCCCTTAGTCCCAACCTTCACCAACCACTCTGGCCCTTACCAAGTGGCTGCAGTGCTGTCAGCCGGGCCGGGGCGCTGCCGGCACGAGCATCCTCTGCCCCGAGCTGCTGCTATGTTTCTAAAAGCCTTTTCTTCCAGATAAGAAATCTCTCTTGTCTTACAGGTTCCTTTGGCTCAGCCTAGCTCCAACTGCTAGAGAAGAGCTATTTTTTCAGACGTTTTGCTCAGGATTAGCAAGAGTAGGATGGTTTAGAAGCTGTGAAGAGGACATCTTAATCATCCAGGCAAATATCAGAAATTTCTCTCGTAGCTCTTCTCCTTATCTGCTCAAAAAAAAAAAAAAAAGCTTTTTCCAAGGATCTGTGGCTCAGGTAACAGCCCAGATGTTAGGTTGTCTGGGCATCCGTTCCTCTGCAGAGTAGTAGTGGGTTTCTGTTCCTAAGTAAAATCCTCACTTCAATAAAGAATTGTTGTTTCATTCACCTGCAGAAGCTAGGGCACTGGAGCTAAAACACACATCCCAGGGCATGTAAAACTGCTGCTTCTGAGTAGCTGCAATTCATCTGCTGGCGAAATTAGAGTCTTGTTTCACGAGGCTGTCTTGTCTTGACTTTCTCTGTGTACATAAGCCACCTTCTCACATCATTAATCTTCTTCTCTGTGTATATTTATGTTATTTATAGAGTGCTGGGTGTCTCCAGAATGTGGTGAACACAAGTGCTGTTATCTGATTATAGCAATTTTGTCTTTCTCCCAGGAAAATAACAGCCTGCCTTAACTTCTCAGGGGGGTCTCTCCCCTCCACCAACAGCAGATCGTCTGTGATGACAAGTGACTTGTGAATGATCCTCGGGGCAGATCTCATCTACACTTGGCCATGATAAACAAGAAACCAACAAATCCTAGGGAGATAAGTATGCTCAGGCTCAAAGGCACAGTATTTCTTTCTCTGCCCATTTTTTTTCTTCTCCCTTGTCAGGCTCTGACTTTGGACCCTACTTTTGGGCTTAAAAGCTTCAGAGCTCAAGCTCTGACAGCTTATGAGAGGGAAGATGGGAGGAAGAGGTGGCTGCAGGTTGCTGTGCGTTCACTGCTGCATGACTGGCCTCTGGCATGTCCCTGCTCACTGTTCCTATGTATACAATTGTGAGGAATAATTCACGCATGTTTCTAGAAGACGCAATCCCAAGAAAACAATAAATTTCATCCAAAGCACTAGGTAGTCTCAGAAACTGTGGGGAAAATCAAACAACCATCCCAATCCCCAGAGACAGCTGCTTCAAGAAACAAACTCTGCCCACTTCAGTCCTGATCCTCAGTGCAGAGCACAAAATACCTTTGGAAGACGAAACTATGGGCTGCAGTTCCTAACCCTACTGACTACTGATAGACATGGATTCAACAGAGTAACGGTCTTGTAGGGCACACTGCAATTTCCCATATTCTCTGCCTCAAGTCAGACCCTTGTGGTTCCACAGGCAATAATTATATGCTGTGCCTGGTATTCTGCAGAGGGTAATAATCTCCTCACTCTCCCTTTGGTAACCTCCTATCTCTGTCCAACAACTCCTGCCTTTTTGAAGCAAATAGCTAGCATCACAGCCGTCAAGGATGATAGGATCCTGTGGCTTCCTAATTGCCACCCTCTGCTTCATCAGGCTTCATCTGCAGTAACAATGCTCTGAGTATGGGCCTTTTCCAAGAGCTCTGAATACCCCTGAACTGTCCAGTGTTAAACCTCCCAAGAAGCTCAGTGTCTTGATTTTGGTACCACATTCAACATTAAATATGTTGTTAATGTATCTTTCTCCCTTCATCAGGACCTTGTGTGGGCAAACACCCCCTACCTCTTCCCCTTCCTTCTCTGTAGTGCCACTTGTCCCTTTGTGCCACTTCTTGTCTTTAAACCTCATGAAATTTGCCTTTTTTTTTTTTTTTTTTTTTTTTTTAGCTGATGGCAGCCCTGCTCTGCAAAATACCATGCTGTAGTGACACGACAGAAAATACCTAAGGTCTCAGCCAGGGTCCCTCAGCAGCTCATGGACAAGCACTTTTCTTGCAGCTGATTTTCCAGCCATGGAGCAGCACCTTCAGCTCAGCCCGTTCGGTGCCCCCGCATGCTTTCTGGTATTTACCTTCGCTTTTCCAGCTTCTTCCTCCCATCTGGTCTCCTGCATTTGTTGCCAAGAGCTACCCTTGCTCGTTGTGAGTAAGTCATCACTGTGTGGTTTAAACTGATTTTGGGGGAACCAAGCCAGCAAACGGTGGCCATGAAACAACCACAAACCGGTGTTGCTGCTGCGGGTTACAAGCAACACTCTGAGCTGACTTCACTCTGATTGCTGGCTCTGAGCCGTGGCTTTCTGACCTGAGCAGCAGAGCAGAACGATTAGCCATATAAGTGCAAGGCAGGGGCTGTATTTTGGATTATTCAGATTATCAAACTCTCAATCTCTGCATCTGGCATAATCACCGTTTCATTGCCTGCTTCCTCTGTTAGCTAAAAGTGCACTCTGGAAGCAGATAGAAGCATTGTAACCCCAGCTCTTGCTCTCAAATTCCTTCCCAAAATGAGGCTAGATTCCAATCTACAGGGATTTGACTATTGCAAAGATGGAGAAAGTAAAGGTAAGAACTGTAAGAATTATATAGAAGCAAGGCCCTTATCTTGGCAGTTCGCCTTAACTGCTAGCAAGACTGTAACTAGGACCTTGACCTGTTCAGTTTGTGAAGAAGAAGGTTGAATCAAGGAATGATAATTTGTAAGTATCTTCTTCGGCTGCGGGATCAAACTGAAGAACATCTAATGAGCTCCACTGGCACAGAACTTGCAACTCAGCAAATTCAGATTGGAAGAGAGTTGCAAGTTTTTAACAGACAGTCATTTAAACACTGTAAAATTTAGTTTAATAGTGTGGCAGCTTCTCCTTTACTTGCAACTTTAAAATTAAAGGGGATTTGTTTTCTAAATATGTTTGAGACAGTGAAAATCTTGGCACTAATTCTTAGGCAGAGAAGCAAAATTGCCTTTTGAATCTAGCAGGCATAACTCATGCAGAGACTTTTAGAAGAGATAATAATGTCAGGAATATGTTCATCAGTAAGTGAGAACTGCAAATCTATATCTGTTCGTGAAGTGAATAATGATGGATAATGCTCAGTCACAAGGCTATAATGCCGCCTGCAGGATTTTAGTGACAGCGTGAACAATGCGAGTGGTGCAGTTAGAAATGAAGTATTTATTCATACAGGAAGGCAGTGTTTAGTCCTTATGTTCACGTTTATCAGAACCCAGTGACAGTATCTGATTTCATATTGTGATCCTTTGTGCAGACTGGAAATTTTGAGAAAAGAACAGATCTGTCAGCAAGATTATTCAAATAAGCCCTGCTGGGGACTTGTGCTTCTCCTCTGTTCTTCCTTGGTTTAGATGTGCATTTTGAGATTAGTTTTGAAATGCATGCTAGCTCTTCCTGGCTGCCAAGCCAAAATTAAGGCTGACATTTGCCTGTGGGGTTAGCCTTCACTGCTGGGACAGTGTTGTACCCTTGGAAAAAAAAAAAAAAGTTGCACCTGTTTTGCTGAATTCAGCAGTCCCCAATAATTTCCTGGTGAAAAGTGCTTCCGTCATGAATGCACTACAAATTGTCTTTGTGTATCAAAGGGGCTATATGATACTAAACTTGACATTTCTGAGTTTCTGGCTGGTTCCTACCATTTGAGTCAGAGCAAAGAAGAAAATCTGACTTCAGATGCTACCAGCAAGCTGCACATCCAGTGCCACCAGCACTACAACCTCTGTAGATGGGGATGAAAAAAATAACTGCTGTTATTTCCAGGTCACCTTTTTCAGATCCAGCCAAAATCAGTGAAGTTGGCTGAGGAATCCCCACAGAGGCCATTAGGGAATTAATAAGCAGCATGGTCAGCCGTGTCTGGGGACCTCTGAAGGTGGTGCTCAGCTTCAGGAACTACACAAGGGCTGGACAGCTTGGATGGAAGCTGGTCAGAAGGAGAAGTACTGGGTGCATCCTGCTTCTAAGATCTGTCTAAGGGTGAGTCTAGTTTGTCTGGCTGTTCAGCACAGCTTTTGACATGGTGCATGGTGGTTTTGTGGGGCTGTTTGCTGCCTGGGGCTCTGCAGATTGTAGAGGAATTGGAAGTAAAAATCCAGATTTTTCACATTGCTTGAAGTTTATTTGGAACTTTTAACCCTCTGAGGCTGTGAAACTATACTGCTTTCCAAGAACCCAATGGGGAAAGGCTGAGGGGTCTGGATAAGAATAGGATTAGGTTGGCCCATTGTCCATCACTATGCTAGGAGTGGGGCCAGGGACTGTTGGCAGCCCGTTCAGTGAGGAATGTGCTGTGATGGGAAGGAACTGGACCAAAAAGATGTAAAAACATCATGTGCAATATGGCTAGGAAATACTACCATAAAATAACTCCACCTGTAGGCAAAACATCATGTAGGGTCAAGACCTTAATACCTTGGCAACTGAGTATTGAGTAGTATGTCAGAGTTCTTCCTTTGATAATCCAGACCACATTTTTAGGCACTGAGGATGTCAAGCACATTTAGACGTAACCCTTAAGGCACTTGCCCTTTTTCTAACTGACCATATTTAGTAAAGGTTTGTTTTTTTCCAGTACTCCCTGAGGAGGCTGACTTCTCAGCATGATGTAAAGTTGGCTAGGAATGACCCAATTAGAAATCCGAGCACCTCCACTGTTAATTTGGGCAGTAAATCTAATTAAAAGCAAATATTTAGATGCAGAAATAGGAAGGAGGTATGAGGTTGGCACTGGCATCTGTCATCAAAGTCTTGATTTGTTCCTGTTTTAACAGAAAAACCATTCAGATCTGCAAAGAATTAGGGATCTCCTTTAAAAGGCAAATATCCCTCAAACTCTGCTCTTCCACAACAGCTTGTTTGCCACATCAGAAATATCCATCGTCTAGACCAGGACATCAAAGAGAGACTGACGGGAAGGTCTATTAATCAAAGAGAAATGTTGAGGGAGAAGTTACCCAAAAGTAAAGTGAATGGGCACAAAAAGAAGAGAGAGAGAGAGGGGGGGAAAAACAAAAACAAAAACAAACAAAACACTACCCTGCAATGCCAGTAAATCTGTGGAGCTGGTAAATTCACCTTAATGTGCCAGGAGGGATCTCTACTTCATGCTGCTGGAAGTGGGGGTTCGGTCTGGCTGACTGTGAAACTCCAAAGGGAAGATCAAAGACCTGATTATTAACTATGCTAAAATCCTGTTAGATTTCTCTTGTAGATCAAAGGACCCTTTAAAGAGGGAGGAGCTGATTCCCCTGGAAATAACTTCTGCTCAGCACAGGGCTTTCATGTAAGCCCCAGCTTAGTGGTAAGATCTGGGCTTCTGGGATATGGGACAAATGTGTTGCAGTAAGGTTATTCTCTGCTCCTGGGAGCTTTCCTCTGTGGGAAGAAGCAGCCCTGGGCTTGTTCTAATACATATGTGGGGTTCAGCAGGCCTTGCCAAGCTCCCCATTGTGGGGAGCACAAGAAGTCTGAATGAAAGGTGAGTTAAAATCTCCTTAGGTAAGTCTTGCAAGGCTATAGGTGACATGTGCATGCCAGAGCTCAAAAAATATAAGCAGTAAGTGTGGGAGAAATACATATTTTCTAACCATCCTATTTATTCTACTTGGTCAATAATTATCTTTATCACATTAATTTTGAGCCTAGTTCATAGCAAACACGAGCAATGCTTTTGCAAATGGCTTAAAAATGCAAAAGTCTTTGGGTTCTGCTTGTTAATACAGGGACCAGCCCCTTACCATGACTTCCATCCCATAACCAAACTGACTTTCTTCATTAAAATGAAACTTCCCAAATGAAGCAATTGTCCAAAGGAAGCAGTTCTCTTCTGCTATTTTCCTTGTTTTGTCATGTAGTGCAGTTATTGGGTTTGTATGAAGCTTTTCACACAAGCAGCTTCAGAGTGAATGAATTACCAAGTGAAAGAAATGGAAAATGAAAAGATAAGATAAAGGCATCTCTGCATCTTACTTGATCTGGTTCCATGAAAACCTGCGTGGGGAGATTTGTGAGAGGATCGGACTCCTTCGCTTGTCACACGAAGACACTAGGTGGGGCAAGGCATGGAAGTTCAAGTTAACAGACTTGGAGCTGGAAAGCAGGCACACATTTTTGATCGGGAGGCCAACTGTTGTAGCAGTAACTTCTCTAGAGCCTGAGTTCTCTGCTGTCACGCTGTGCTTTCAGGTCACAGCATAGATCTTGAAAATCTAGTGCACTGCAGTGCAGGAGTCACAGGATGGAGTTTCATGCCCTCTGTTACACTGGAGCAAGATGATGATGGATACTGTGGTCAGCAGTGGTCCCCACACAAACACACTCTGACTGATGGGGAAGGTTTATAGGGTATTGCAACAGGGGATTGCATTACTTTTTTTTTTTTTTTTTTTTTTTTTTTTAATATGGGAAATGAAAGAACTTTGCTTACTTTTATGGAAAATGCCTTCTAAATAGACACTGCTGTGAAGATACTTCATGAAGCTGCTTGATGGAAAATTTATTAGGTGGTTAATCTCAACCTAGCAGCTGCAGAGGAGACATGAAGGGGAGGAATGTAGGAAGGCAAAGGGAACAGAGAAGTAAATAAGAAAATTTCATGCTGTCTCTCTGTACTTCTTTACGTCTTCTGAAAGCTCTCCCTTTCTGGCAACCATTTGGCTTTGGGGATGAGATGGGGATAAGAGCCAAGCAGGGTTAGGGCAGGCTTTGCCAGAGCCTGTGGGGCAAGAGACATGAAGAACTGCACAGTGCAGGGCTGGAAATAGGCCAGAGGCTGCAAGTGGGCTGATTTCTACAGAAATGGAAAAAGGGGCACCCTGACATGCTGGGGGATGCTGGCAGTCAGTGTTAACTAAGGCCTGTGGTCCTGCAGGATGGAGCTGGGACTCTGAAAAGCAACTCCAGAAGTCTGATGCTGTTAGGAAGCAGATCCTGCAGGGCCACATAAGCATCAGCCCAGGAGAATGATTTTTCCTGTGGCTTCCAGGATGGATGTCTGTGTATACATGAGGCACCAACATCTTGTGTTAAGTACTACTTGTGTTTCTGCATCTTGTCTTCAAGGTCAGACAGCAGCTTCTGCTCCTGTGCAGGTCCTGTGCTGACGAATGGGAGAACTGCTAATGTAAAGGTCAGAAAACAAACAGAACTAATCTGGAGCATTAAGCTGGCTGTGCGAAACATGTTTTCCTAGTCTACGCACTGTAGAGCCAGTGTGTCATGAAATATTGAAACTTTTTCCCTATCTCACTCATAAAAAAAATAATGAATATCTACTTTTCTTGTGAGAGAGGTGACCTCAGATTTAGCTGTCTCAGGGAAGGAATGCCAAATTGGAAGATCACCTGTCATGATGTCCTTTTGCTGACTGCTGTCTTAGACTGAGCATTTTATAAATGCCGATGGAGATTTGCACCATCAGCCCCTTCGCTTTAA